CCTTTAGGTTCCACGGCACAGTTTGTAGGTTCATGTTACTTTCTCTGAGCCTCGACCACGACCAGAATACGTTTAAGCCAAAAATATATTTTAGATTAAACCTAAAGTTCACTTTTTTCTCATGACGTTAGGACAATAAGGAATAAACGTCAGAATTAATCTGAAGCCTGAATGCAGAGATTAGCTGATAATTTTACAGTTGGAAGACGTGATCAACCCTTCTGCTGCCACACTGGGAACCTGACTCAAATAAAAACTGAACGCCGCAAGGCTGTCTGGATTTAAGTGTGGAATAATTCCTACACACCTCGAGTATGTTCAGAGGAAAATTAATTATCACCGCTGATACCACCCAACACACAGACACAGTTAGGAAGGATCACCCGCCGCTGAAAGCAAAGAGGCGATAATGTTTTTTCCTATGTCTGTGTGTTCGCTTGTTATCAACTGGTGGATGATACTGAAACTCTCAAAGGAATCTTTAGATGTTCTTCTTCAGTTTGAAGAGTCATGATCAACACAGCTAAATAAGAGAAACTGCTTAGGCTGAATTTGGTGGTAGCCGGGAGTCATCCACGTTCTGAGCACTAACAGATCTCACAAGTTCTCAGAACATCATGAGATTGGCGACTTGAGAGGATCTTCTGCCTTTAAGGTGCTGCGTTTTCTTTTAAAGCGTGTTCAACCTATAAATCACATTGACCACTCTGAGTGACAGATGGTCTGAAGCAGACAGACACCCCCCACCCCCCAGTGTCCGGACTATGTGCTCAAAGGGTCGGGTTTTATTTGAATAACAAATCAGTAAATGTCACAAAACAGCAGAAAGTTCAGACAGCTCTGTTCAGTTATCACTTCCTGTGTGTAAATGTGCAAAATGTGTGACGCTTCCTTGTGCAAATTTAAACTTTTTTCCAGCTACTTTCAGCTGTTCTTTGCTCCTTTCAGATTCTTTTTGCTAACTACAACATTTTTGTGCTTCTTCTAACTTCTTTCTGCTAATTTTAGTTTATTGTCCTTTTTTCAGCCTATTTCTGCAAGTTTCAGATTTTTCGACTATTTCAGCTATTTAGTTGTTTATGCTAATTTAAGCGTTTTTCAGTTAATTTCACCTTTTTCACACTCATGTCAACCTTTTTCAGCCTAATTCAGCAAAAAATGTGATCTCTCCAGTTCAATATGGTAATTTCAGCTTCTTTTTTTAATTTTCTCCTTTTTAGCTACTTTTTAGATGTTTTATTTTTTTTGTTACTAATTTCAGATTTATTCAGATAATTTCCACTTTTTTGTGCTAATTTCTGCTACTTTCAGCAAACGTGTTCCTTCTGCTTGCTCCTGCTAGTTTAAGCTAGTTCTACCTTTACAGCTACATTTTAGCATTTTTTAGCTAATTTCAGCTGTTTTCAGATAAATTAAAGTTTTTCGTAATAATTTCTTTCTAAATTCAGCCTAATACGGTAACTTCTTTCAGCTCTTTTCAGTTTGTTATGATCCTTTCAGCTTTTTTTCTGCTAGTTTCAGCTTTTTCTGCTATTTCTGCTACTTTTTTAGGTGTTTTGTGCTGAATGTAGTTTTTTCAACTTTTTCACATTTTTAGCTCGTTTCCACTCCTTCCACTTCCTTCTGATAATGTAAGCTTCTTTCTGCCTTTTTTTTTGCTACTTTTCAGCTATTTTTCGTTAATTTCAGCCTTTTTTGTGCTAATTTCAGCTGATTTAAACTTCATTTTGCAAATGTGTTTGTTTGTTCTTCTACTAACTTAGGTTTATTCTTCCATTTCAGCATGTTTTAGCTAATTCCAGCTGTTTTTCAGCAAATTCTTCACTTTCGCAAGAAAGGCAATTGCCTTTCCTGCGAAAGTGAAGAATTTGCTCTAGTTTCAGTTTGAAAAGCCGTCTGACTGTTAGAGATTTTACATTTACATCACTCCACCCAACATAAATATTTTAATAGCCACTGCTCGTAAGTCTTAATCGGTGTTTAAACCCATTTCCAGTTCCAATTACGGGCTCACACCTGCAGCCCACAGCTGCAGGTGTGCTCAGTTTCTTATAAACCTGCTCTTCTCTTTCTCAGGGAGGAAGGCGACTTTGTGCATCTCTGTAGCCATGCGGGGCAGAAGCGTTGTCATTTTCATCAGCGCTGCTCGGGTTTCTGCGCCTCCCCTCTCTAACCTGATTCAGTCAGCATCTGACAGCTGAAAGTGAGACGGCAAAAGAAACAGAGGAAGGAGGGAGAGATGTAAAGAAGAACTCGCACACAAAACAAATACCGTTCCAGCCTCTCTGTTGCTGAGAGTTGCCGTGTTGCAGGGAGTGGCACCTTGTTGCACAGGAAAAACGAAGCCTCGCTCGTCTCTTCCACACCAGATGTAAAACATAAATAAATAAATCTTTTTAAATGCATCTATGGACACAGATAAATCTGTTGGAAGTCTTCCACGATAATAATAATAAACAGCTGATGTGACTGAAGCTAAAATGCTCCAGTTTTGTCTCATCAGACGCAGAAAAGATTATTTTTGTCAACACGTACCAGTCTGTGTTTTTTCTGGCAGTAGTGGAGCCTCCTGGGTCTTCTTCTGTGGCGCTGTTATGATCCAAAGTATGACGGAGATGTAATTTCACAACCAGGTTCATCTTAAATGGTTCTGGTTTGATTCCTTAGATCTTTTTTCTACCATCCGCAGTATATGTTTGATCAGCCTGGAGTTGCATTTGATATTGCGTCCACATTCTGCGAGGTTGACGACAGACCTATGAACCTTTTACTTTTTAATCTGTGTTCAGATTAACGTTAAGTTACTTGGAGATGGCCTTAAAGTCTTTACCACCAAAGTGGATTTTTATAATCCTCTTCCTCTGCTCTGTGTTTAGTGCTGTGAACACGACGACACCGAACCACCCAGTGGATGTTTGTTCCCTTTCATCAGACTTCACAGACTGATGCTGAAGAAAAGCTTCAAGGCTCCTGTGATACGAAGTTGAAACTCACAAAACATAAAACCAACATTAAGCTTCTCTTTAAAAAGGTGTCAACAAAATTGTCCGTACTAGTTAAAAAATAACTTTAATGTTTTTTTTTATAAACAATGTTATTTTTCACAATTTATTTTGCTGCACTGACATGCGAACATGCAGATGTACCCAAAAAGTTTGCTTTAAATTATCACCCTTTTTACAAGAAATAAAGCATCATTTCAGATAACACGTGTCTGATGTGACTTGTCTAAATGACTTTAGGACCAGGGACGGTCACTGTGGCAACGATATATTTATAACAGTATAATCGTATTTTTATCATAACTTGAACACTTATTTTATTTAATTTTTTAATTTTTAGTCTCGAAACAGGGAAACCAAACTGTTGTGCGATGTAAAAACATCAAAGGAGAATACTTTAAATCAGTGTCGGCTTTCTGCTGAACTGAAAGCAGAATTTGAACTAACGTGTCTTTTAGGATGATGCCGATATTGATAGGATGGTTATTATTATTATTATTGATATTGTTTATATTATTTCTTCATATATTGTTTTTAACATTTAGGAACTTTTGTGTGAAATATTTTTATCCGTTGTTGCTGTTACACTTGAATTTCCCATCCGTGGGACAATAAAGGCTGTTTCTATTCTATTCTATTCTATTCTATTCTATTCTATGTTTGAGATCAGCACAGAAATGTTAATTTATTCATAAGTACTTAAAATAAACTTTCAATCTCAATTGTATTTAAATATACTATAAACAAAAAGGCCAGACTCAACAAGCTGGTTTTATTTTGTTTATTTATAATTCTAAAGTAACTGGAACTAAATTGCTGCTTTTCTGCTCTTCATCGTCATCTTAACGAGTTTAAGGTATTAATTAGTTAGCCGGGTGTTAGCCTCGGAAGGCTAAAACTGAATGGTGGCTCGGAACAAATAGGAGATACTCGAGGAAAAGCTGCACGATCGCCTCATTTGAAGAAAAGCTAAAGCAGTCTACGGAACAATGATGGAGGTTTTTGGTTTTTTTTTTTTAGAATGAGCTCCTTTCTTTTTTTTTTTTTTCCCCCTTCTTCAGTTTGAGTGATAAATCCTCAGCTTTAGATTTGCTGTTTCTTTAGAATGGTAATAAACAGACTAACCAATAGTGAGATTTGGCTGCGTCACCACAAAACATAGAACAACAACAGATAGGTTGTGCTCTCTAGATGATCCTTGTATCTCTTTCGTTTGGCAGATCATCAATGCACTCTAATCCTTCACTATCTCATATCGTCCATTCACCCGGCTCAATCTGAGGTCACCCGTTTTGATTCCTCATACGTCCATGTTTCTGTCTTGGCTCACACTTTCCCTCTCAGGCAAATTGTGGCGTCTCAGCACCTTTGACAAGAGCAGCCTCAGGGACATTTCAGCTGTGCCACAAACTGAGCTGCTTTCTCACAAAGAGAATAGATTTGCTTGTGCAGCTCCTTCAGCCCCATCACCTTGACCTTAAGCAGCTTTGCGGGAGGTGAGCGAGCGGCGTGGAGAGATCACTTAGAGCCGCCGTTTCCCTCGGCGCCGCGCTGCAGTGCAGCCCGTCATCTCGCCATCGATCGCTCCTTTCTTGATTTATGACAATCAAGTGCTGGGAGTAGTTTTGAAAAGGAGCTACACGGCCAACGCTTCGGTGGAGAGCGTTGATGGAGTTTGGATTTAAATCTGCCTGATTGGTTAGTGGGGGTGGGGGGTGGTGGGGGGGGCAGCTGGGACTTAGGTTGAAATATAGTAGACAGATTTGACACTGATTTAAGAGCAAACATTTCCACTCAGGCAGGATGTATGAGCACCGGGCACAAAGGAATACAATACGCATTTCTATAAATCTACAGTTCTTTGTGGAAAATATGTTTCCTTCATGACCAGTGGTCTCCAGAAGGGCTCAGGAGGTGGCATGTGGGGGGTCAGAGTGATGTAACCCCACTGAAAGGCCATCTGGTCTGAAGAGCTGTACCTGACTCCAGCCTTCTCACCAGGGCTTCGGGCACCTGGTGAAGCTGGCAGGCTGCTCCTTGGCAGTTTGCCATTTCCAGAAAGATCCCACTTTGAATTGGATGGGCCGACCCAGCATGGTGGCCCTCGGACTGGAAGGTTACCAAACTGAGCAGAGGAGGTTCAAAGGTCAGCTCTGCTGGAGATCCGTGTGCACCTCGATCACAGGAACTGTGCAAATGAAATAAAAAATGCTCTTCACAGATTAAAGTAGCTGAAACAGGACAGTTTGAGGGTTTTTGTCAGCATCAATAAACCAATGTACGTCTGTGTAATATGATTTTTATCACCCGTCAACATGTAGGCATCAATCATGTAACTGCCTGAGCCTGTGGCTGTCTGTTAGCAAAACAACCCATCAACAGGACGTATTCAACTGAAATTCTCAGAAAGCATCACTAGATGTACTTATTCTACTAATTACCTTTTCAAGTCAATCCGAGTTAAGATGGACACCACAGTTAATGTGTAAAACTGACTGAGTTGTATCCATTTTACTAGCTTCATGTTAGCATGGCGGTGACTGAGAGTTGTCCTCAATAAAAACACAGGGCGCTGCCAGGCAGGGCTGACTCCAACAGTTAATGCTTAACTTTTAAACCAACACATCACATGATCTGTCTGTTAGCAAAATATCCCATGAACCATAGGACAAACTTTACTGAAACGCTCAGAAACATTAACTTATTACATTAGATATAAATATTTCAAGTTGGACCACTGAATATGGACATAATATCGATGCATTACAAAGCGACTTGTTATCCTGTACATAAAAGTACATACCAGATATGTAACCAGTACAAACCCAGTAAGTACCAGGTAATGTACCCAGCAATTACCAAAAAAATTACCTAGTAAGTACAAGGTAACCAAAATGAGCATTGAGAGCTGAGACCTGAACCTGCCACCGGACAAATACACCTCCGGGTACAGGACCACACTGTTAGGAAGACCACTCCCCTAGCGGAGCCACACTGCTGGTAGTACCATGCTACAAACAAGACCACACTGTTAACAGGACCATGCTGTTAACAGAACCTCACTGCTAACAGGACCATGTTGCTAACAGAACCTCA